CCCGGGCCAGGCCCCCTCGGCCACCCTGGGGCTGCGGAAGGCCCCAGCTGGGTGCGTGTAGTCTGGGAAGAGCTGGAGGTCTCACGAACCCTCTGACCCCAGCCCTGCAGAGCGGAGTTACCCATCCCGGCCAATGAAAGGCGACAGCCAGTCGCACGGGCGGTTCCCTTGCAAAAGGACCCGAAGGACAGTGGGGGCAGAAGGACAGCTGTTGTCCGCCCTTGGACGACGGAGCTTGCAGGGTTCCTTACGACCCGGTCTCTGCTTTCCACCAATCCGCCACCGTTGGTGGGCGTGGCCTAGTGAGGAGCGTCCGGGCGGCTGAGAACTGGAAGGGACATAGGCGGGGCCGGAGTAAGAGGGCGGGACTCTGGGTGAGAGGGCGGGGCCGGAGTGAGAGGGCGGGACTCTGGGTGAGAGGGCGGGACTTGGGCAAGAAGGCGGGGCCTATGAGGTGGCGGGTGTGAGCAAGCATCTCCTCTCAGGGCTCTGCCCAGATGATGAAATTGCCCAGAACTAAATACATTCGAGTGAGATCTGTAGAAGTTCAGTGAATTGTATCAATATAAATTTCCTGATCATGATATTGGATTATAGTTATGTAAGACGTTTTATTTCTAACAACTACATGTGAAACTACAATTATCTTAAAGTCGTTTTTTGAAAAAGCAACTCAGATTGGATACATAACAGAAAATAGTTTCTAATAAACTATTTTAAAGTATATTTTTATGTGTACCTTGTGTCCCCTGAAAGGTCCTTGAAGGCAAAAATCAGTTCTGATTAATGTTTTTAATAGTAATAGTAGCTTGTAATTAGGCCAGGGCTTTGTTCCTAGTACAAATGAATTTTCAATGAATTCCCAGGCCACAGTACAGACCTAACTTAATAAATACACTCGCCAATGATATGCTTTGGGGAGGCAAAGGCCCTTGACTTCAGGGAGCTGGCAAGAGGACACAGAGAAGTAAACCCACAAATACAATACCATGTGTTCAGTGAAATGAGAGAGGGTGAACATGGGTTCAGTAAGAGCATTCAGAGAGGGCTTCCTGGAGGAGGTGGGGATGTAGTTGATACCTGACAGAGGTGAGCTTACCTTGAATTCAATGAAGATTAAGCTTCTGGGACCCTTTAAGGTCCTGTGAGAGACTCCCGCACTGGCTGTCAGCATTTTGCTCACCACGAAATTCTAGCAAAGAGTCACAGGAACATATATTTTTGTAAAATTAGAAAAATTAAGATACATATCTTTTATAAAAATAGGCAAGAGATTTTCATAAGCCCTTCACAAAAGAGGATATCCAAATAGCCAACAAACTGGAGGTGGTGTGGAGAGGATCAGGTCTCAGGCAGCTGCAGAATTGCAACAGTATCACATACAAAATGCCTGCAGGGGTGCCCTGCTGGTCCAAGTTCCAGCCCCTTCCCGGAGCTCAGGTTTTGGGCTTTGCTCTGAAGACTGTGGGGAAGTTCGCTGAGGACTACTTCCAAGCACAGTGACGAATGACTATCTCCACGACTCAAGAAAACACTTCTGTAGCCAAATGATTTTTAGGTATTTCAGACCTTTCCGATGGCCTGGTCCTATAGCCAAAATTCTACAGAAATAGATGAGTCAATTCAAATGAGAAAATTTGGTAAATGGGTAAACTTTTACATAGTAATGACCTGGATGTTTTTGGTGAAATGCTTAAGACAGTCAACAACCTTATCACCAAGTCTAGTAAAACACATCTCTTTCATAAGTGATTATTGCTGTTTCTATACCTGGAATATCATGCATATTTTCTTTATTGGATGTTTATATTTTAAGAAGAAAAACATTTACCTTTTTAAAAAGTGAATATTAGTGCCCCAGCCAGGTGGCAAGCCACCAATCAATATTTCTCTCCCCCGCCCCCTTCTCTCTCTCTCGCCCTCTCCTCTCCCTTTCCTCTCTCTCTAAAATCAATAAACATATCCTTGGGTGAGGCTTTAAAAAAGTGAATATTGGTCATTTGTTGTTCCTAAGATTTTTATACTACAACAAAATTTGTTCTTTTTTTATGAATTTCTAAATGAAGACAAGCAAGTACAGCCCTGGCTGAGTACCTCAGATGGTGAGAGCATCATCCTAATACACTAAAGTTGTGAGTTCGATCTCTGGTCAGGGCACATATAAGAGTCAATCAATGAATGCAAAAATGAGTGAAACAACAAATTGATGTTTCTGTCCCCCTCTCTCTTCTTCTCTAAAATCAATAAAAAAAAAAAACAAAAATAAAAAGACAAGCAAGTACAAAAATGGGGAACAGGCTTTACTAATCAAATAATGTCTTTGTTTCTATAAATGAGAAGATTGTTTTATTTTTAACACTAAACATGAGAGCTGTTTCTTAGCAAACTTGTTTGGAAACGTGAATGCTCTGTTGTGTATTAGACTGCCCCATCTGGTGTGTGAAGAGGATTTGATCCTTACCTTCTTAAATTCCTCTACTTTATAGTTTTGTGGTTGTACTTTTTAAAAATACTACATTATTTTATATCTTTTAAATTGTTTAAAATGTGACCTATAGAACACTGCAAATGGTTTTTAAAAATGTGAAAATATTACAACCTAAAAGAATTCTTCCTGCCACAAATGTCTTAATGCCTGTGATTTAATTTGGGACACTTTTAAAAGGATACTTTATATGTGTAATAATCTTTGAAGAGCTTGGAAATAAAATTTCTGCTTCATACATCAAAAAAAGTGAACCCTATTACTTTGATTTGAATGTCAGGTTTTCAAGAACAGTCCTTGTCTCAGTAATCTCTCCTGCTGTTCCTGTAAACGGTGGGATTGTCCTGGACATTCTGATCCTTTGGTATCCAATCTCACGTCCTAGAGGAATGAGGAATCCATCGTCTTTGCACTTGAGACCTGGCTCCAGGACGGAGTGGCAGGTGGCCTGATCCCTAACGGATCTTCATCCCTTCCAGGCTTGAGAATCTCGCTCTGTGGCGACAACTCAGTGCAGGCGGCATTGTCCCTGCTGCCCACAGAGCTGCAATTCAAGGCCTATGCTCGGCCCTGCCAAGCTCCCGGAGAGCTCTGGATCCTACCCGAGTGGCCCTCAGCTTCCAGTGCCAGCCGTGTGAAAAGAGGCCACTTTACATTTGATACAAAGCGTCAGCCGGTCTCATTCACGGTGCCCAGAACATGCTAAGCTCCGGACGTGGGGCTGGAAAGTGGCACTTGAACACAAACTCCCTTTCCTGCCTCCCCAGCAAGGCTTTCACAGGCTGAGATGTCAAGAGATGTTGTTCTGGGGAACAGCTCGAGAAAAGCCCTATTCTCCTCGCTCCTCCTCACCTGCCAAGAAGCCCGGAGCCGCAGGTGCCCAGCGGGGCCGAGGAGATGCCCGGAAACGCCAGAACATTCACGCTGCTTGAGAAGTGGCCTCTCTGTGCCAAGTCCCAACCTTGGCCGCCCCTCGTGGGGCCTGGTTCTCGGGAGCAGCACCTGTCTGCCCAGGCTTCAAACCCCAGCTCCCGTTGGCCACTCCGCACAAATGCAGGTGACCCCGTGACCCTCGGAGCCCTGTCCTTCTCTGACAAAGCCCTGCTTGTTTGAATTTTGAGTCTCAGGGAGGTCTGCAGTCCCAGAAATAAGAGAATCCAGGAGACTGACTATATTGCCCGAAGTGCTCTTTTCACAGATGGAAAAATTCAGGTGGAGGTGGGAGAGGAACCCTGAAAGGTGTCATCGGGGAGTCTCAACCCTGACTGCAGTTAGGATCACCTGGAGGAAATTTAAAACATGAGACCCTGATTTAGCTGGTCTGGTGTGGGGGATGGAAGGCAAGACCCCTCACTGGAGCCCGTATTGAAAATCCCTGGTCTGGTCCAACCCAATTACTTTACAGACAAGAAAAACTGATGTTGTCACAGAAGGGGCTATTGAGATTGTCTGTCTTATTCAATCCACTGGTTCACAGATGGGAAATTGTGGCCCAGAGAGATTAAGTAGAATCACCCAAGGCTCCATAGCTAGTAAGTGAAAAGAGTATTTGGGGCAGTTTGACCTTTGTCTCAAAATGGTCCTACTTCCATCATGTCTAGTTTTATTACCATAAAGCTCTGCTTTGAAGCCATCAAGGTTCCCTACTGTTTAGGAAATCAAGTCTACCTCCTTCCCATACATGGTCTCCAGGGCCCCACCGCAGCCTGGCTTCACCTAGCTTCCCAAAGTACCCCCTTTCTACCCAGGCAGGGGCGCCTACGCCCTGTCCCCTCACCTCAGAAGGCCTCACATGGCTGTCATACCTCCTGGGACAGAATCACAGGGTCAAGGAGACATGCTCACCTGGGTACGCTGGACCTTGGAATGTTTCCTGTTCACCTAGAGGGCCTGTGCGGGCCTATTCTTTAGGTCTTTCTAAAAAAAAGAAAAAGAAATGAGGGTTGGGAGTATGTTTGGAGCTTGGCATGCAGGTTGGGTGTCCTCACAACGTGCACGTAGGTCTCCTCCGGTGCGGGCTGGTGGGAAGGGCAGCGGACAGGCTCCAGCTGGGAGCTGGCTCCTCTATGCTCCAGGGAATCCAAGAATGCTAGGTTCAGAGGCTGCCTTCCAGGTTGTCAAGAAGGTATGCTTGTCAAGATAGAAAGATAGAGCATATTTAACTGTTTGATGTATAAGTTTTAAATATTTAGGTGTGGTGTTAGGCTTCCATTTGTCCCCTTGCCCTGTACATGCTGGGGAGGTGGGCTGACTTCTGAGGGACGCAGGGAAGGAGGGGTGGCCGTCAGCCTTGCTGTGGGCAGGTAGGGACTGCAGGCTGTGCTCCTGGTGAAAAGAACATATACAGTGCTGCTGTGACATGGACCCAGACATGGTGTCCCCGAGGCCCTGGTTGGTAAGCAGTTCTTACAAAGTCCTATTTTTAAATTCCTAGGTCTTTTTTTTCAAAATAGAATTTCCATGGAATATATGAATCCTAGGAACAGCACTGCTAGGTTATCAGATATCTCAGATATTTGATTTGCCTACGTAATTTCAGGTGTGTTTTTTAGAACAGCTGCACCCATCCACCGTCACACCCGCTATACATGAGGGCTCCACTGCCCGTGTCTCTGCCAACACTTGACATTATTCGGCTTTCTAATTTTTGCCAGAAAAGTTATATCTCACTGTTTGGTAGAAAAGTTATATCTCACTGTTGCTCTAATTTTCAAATTTTAAACATTACTGTCTTAGTCTGTTTGGGCTGCTGTAACAAAATACCATAGACTAGGTGGCACCGTTCCCCCAGCCTGGAATGCACTTCTCTTATCTCCTGCTCATTTTTCAGATGCAAGCTCCAGCAGCCTCTGACCTCCCCGACTAGGGCAAATGTCTCTTCCCATTACAGGCTTGGTAACCTATAAACCTTTTAGTTCTTGGTAACCTATAAACCCCACTAAGCTGCAGGTTGCCTGACCTTGTTTTTGCTTTTCAGAAAGTCGAGATGCCTAAAATTTTCAGCAGCAACAGGAACTTCTCACTGTTCTGGAGGCTGGAAGTCTGAGCTCAGGGTGCCAGCATGGTGGGGTTCTGGTGAGGGTCTTCTTCTGAGTTGCAGATGGCTGTTTTCTCCTTGTGTCCTTGAATGATAGAGGCACAAGCAAGCTCCCTGGGGTCCCTTTTATAAGGGTGCTAAGCCCTTTCAAGAGGGCTCTACCCTCCTCACCTGATTACCTCCCAAAGGACCCACCTCCCAATATCACATTGGGGGCTAGAATTTCAACATGTGAATTTTGGGGGGGGGGGGGAACACATGCAGTCCATAATGATTACTAGCGATTTTGAGCAGCTCATCATATGTCTGTTGGCTTCAATCAGCTCCAAATCCTCACGCTGACCCATCAGCCAGCCCACCTCTCTTCACTGGGACACTGAATAGTGGAGATACCCACGATAATGCAGCATTTGCCCTTTCTGTTTATTCTCATTGCTTGGGGACTCCATCTCCTATCTCCTTGTCCCCCTGGAGCCCCGTTCTTTAGCTGCACTGATGAACATCCAAAGCCATTCCTATCTCAGAGACTTTGGCTCCCACTGTTCCCTCTGCCTGGACCACTAACGTTTTCAAGTCTTGTTTCCTCCCTCCTCTGAGTTTCTGTTCAAATGTCCTTTCCTCAGTGACATCTTCTCTTTTCTTCGTATCTAAAGTAGCTCTTTGACTATATTCTCCCCTTAATTTTCCTTCTTAGCACCTCCCATCGCCTGGCATTCCCATTGCCTGTCACGGTATCTGCTGGTGTGTCATTTAGTGTCTGTTTCGGAGGTGCCACAATAGCAAGAACTGTGCCCTTGCACCTGGAAGGGGGCCTGGCACATAGCCAGCACTCAGTAATCACTTGTTGAATAAACCATTATCAGTTCTTCCTCCCCAGACATATTGTCACTTAACTACAAACATTTGGATATTTATCCATTTTCTCAGGGTACTTTTTAGATCATTCATGGGTTGATGTGGGGAGAAGCATTGCAAAATGACAAAACCAAATCATGGACTAAGTGGGAGATTAAGTGAGCTCCCCTAGGATCTCTGGGGCATTCCTCAAACTGACAGGATCTATGCATTTCCAGATCTGGCTTTGAAAAAAAAAATGGAAGCTTCTTCTAAATGTGAGCTTATTTCCTACATTTCATATAGCACAAATGGTTGTCTTATATGGCTTCTACTGCCTTTAGTCCTAAATGTTATTTTCTTATTTGCCAAAAATATATCTTTCCATAAAAATTGATCATTTTTTAGGCTTAAAATTTTAGTTCAACACAATGACAGATAAGTAGAACAGCACTGTCACAGTTGCACAAACTCTCCCTGAAAATCTTAATTCTGCTTGCTTTCTCTGAAACGTGCAAAAAAAAAAAAAGTGATTAGGAAACCCGGGGACTAGAATTTAGCCACAGCCGTGTCTTTAAAAAAAAGTCTGCTGGAGGTTGGAGTGCCAGTTGTATAGGGCTGCCCATTGTTTAAGAGAAAAAAAGTTTCAACCCCAGGGTGGAAAAACTAACATTGTCACTAGGATATGAAGAAACCATGGTGAAGAACTAGGATGGCGAGGCCCCGCAGAATGGCTGGCGGCATCTGCTCCGAGGGCCTTTATCAGCAGCCTTGTATGTTCTATTCAAGACTCTCACAACGATTGTTGGCATGATGTAGACAAATTGACGCAAATTAG